AGGCATGGTGGCTCACGCCTGTAACCACTCCCTCACTTTGGGAGGCTGAGGCAGGCAGATCACCTGAGGTCATGAGTTCAAGACCAGCGTGGCTAACATAGTGAAACCCATCGCTACTAAAAATATAAAAATTCGCCACTCATGGTGGCTTATGCCTGTAGTCCCAGCTACTCAGGAGGCCGAGGCACGAGAATCGCTTGAACCTGGGAGGCGGAGGTTGCAGTGAGCTGAGATCACGCCACTGCACTCCAGCCTGGGCAACAGAGTGAGACTCGGTCTCAAAAATATAAAATAAAATAAAATGAAAAAGTGCTCAAAGAACCATGGGGATATGGCAAAAAGACACAAGTCTTCTCCCTCTGAACAGTTTGAGCATCAAAAAAATTACAACAGTAAGGGATTACGGCACATTGAATTAAATTAAAAAACAAAAAACAAAAGAATCCATGGGCCTCCAGGAATACTCAAAAACTGAGTTAGAGGGAGGGAAAGACCTTCTTTACAGAAGAATGCCAGCCAGTAAACATCAAAGAAACGATGCAATTTTTGAGACAGAATTTCACTCTTATTGCCCAGGCTGGAGTGCAATGGCTCAATCTCGGCTTACTGCAACCTCAACCAAATTGAGGTAAACCACTCAATCTGGACATCCACAGACTCCCTAAAGCCCTGGGCTACGAACCCTAATGTAGAGGAAGAAGCACAGAGCTTAGGACGCAGCACACAGGAGCAACAAGCTGAGGAGAGGAGGCTGTAATGAACAGAGGAGGGAAAGCAACAGCCAGAGGGGCAGGCAAGCCAGGAAGAGCCCCGGCAGCGCAAACGCCACTCAGTCTGCAAACCAGGTAAGGACGCTTGCTACTGGGAGTGATTGAAACTCAGATCCCCGGCTGGGCACAGTGGTTCTCACCTGTAATCCCAGCACTTTGGGAGGCTGAAGCTGGCGGATCACTTGAGGTCAGGAGTTGGAGACCAGCCTGACCAACATGGTGAAACCCCATCTGTACTAAAAATACAAAAATTAGCCAGGCATGGTGGCACACACCTGCAATCCCAGCTACTCAGGAGGCTGAGGCACGAGAATCACTTGAACCCCGGAGGCGGAGGTTGCAGTGAGGCAAAATTGCGCCACCGCACCCCAGCCTGGGCGACAGAGTGAGACTCCGTCTCAAAAAACCAAAAACAAACAAAAAATCAGATCCTTAAAGATCGATTTTACACCCACCTACGTGACAGTAAGAAAGCTGGATCAACTTCGGGGATGAAGGTGGACAGTCAAGACCTACGGTAACACCATCTGGTGTCTCTCTGGCTGCCATCCATATCACCTGCCTCTGGTTCAGGGCCCCTTCCCAGTTTGTCATCCCACCTGTCTGGACCTTGTCCCTCCAGTGAAGGCTGCCTGGATGCCTCGGAGAGCACAGCCTTCTTACCTGCATTCTTCCCGGGCGCTTTTCCTTATTTGGTGCTTTCTAGGGAGTAGGCAGGTCTTAGGGATTTTTCTTTCTTTCTGTCTTTCTTTTGAGACAAGGTCTCGCTCTATCACCCAGGCAGTGGCACAGCCATTGCTCACTGATGCCTTGACCTCCCAGGCTCAAGTCATCCTCCCACCTTGGCCTTCCAAGTAACTGGGACTACAAGCCTGTGCCACCACACCTGGCTAATTTTAAAACTTTCTGTAGAGACAGAGTCTCACTATGTTGCCCAGGCTGGTCTCAAACTCCACAAACTCAAATAGTTGTCCTGCCTCAGCCTCCCAAAGGGCGGGGACTACAGGCATGAGCCACCGCGCCCAGCCTAGGAATTTTTAAGGTGCTCTTTCGAAAGACTATGAGGGCTGTTTGGTGTCAAAGCAAGTCCAACCACCAAGAGATAAGAGATCAAAAGCTCTAAAAGCAAACCCAGAGAGATAAAATGGCTCAGAGATAAAAGAGAGATAAGATGGCTCAGAAATAATCATACTGGGTCCATTTATCATGTGGTTGGGAGAGCACAGCTAACAGAGGGAGAAAAAGTAAATCAAGTGGGCCATGTCCACAGGCGTAATCAACTCATCAGAATGAGTTGGTCACCCATCACCAGCTGGAGAAACCCAAGCCTGAGTTGGTTCTGCCAGACTGGTAAGATGTCCCATCCCAAACTGACCAACTGAATCAGCATTTCTAGTCTTCTGTGCAATTGCCTGCAGTCATACAGGTCCGGTCATGATGGCAGAGAATAAAATCTTCTCTCACACCAGTCTCCAGTTACAGAGTCCTGATCACTGCAACTGGGAAAGCTGAGAACTTTTCATCATCTAGCACATTTGCGAAATTCATTGGCTTTAACAAACTGTTCCGCAAACACCTGGCCTGTTCGGTCTCCCCTCACCAGCATGTGCTTTGTCATATTCAGAAAGTGCTTATAGGCTCTCGCTCGCCTTGAAAAATATCCATCAGCTCTCAGCAAGGCTCAAACCCATCGTGGCTCTGGTGAAACGTTCACTTCAGGGAAACACACAAGCTAATTTGATCCGACTTCATAAATTTTAACAAAATCCAGGTGAAGGAATCTATCTGAAAAAACAGAAGACTCTTATGAGCAGCTCCAAGAAAAAATTCTCTCGGGAAAGGGGGAAAAAGATGTGAAATCCTCCCTGCCAGGGTGGAAAGCAAGATGAAATTGGGTCTCACAAACGGGGAGCTTTCGCGGAACCCAGATCTAAAATGGCGGCTTCCAAACAGCTCAGGATTGTGAGAGCCAGACGGATTTTCGTCTCATGCTTTGTCTTAGAGGTAAAATCAAGTTTAAAACTCATCAACTCTCTTATGATCCCTCACCCCCCCCCACCCCCAACAAAGACCACAGACAAGATCATGGAACCAACTTCAAAATCTCGAGTCTGGGCCGGGCGCGGTGGCTCGGCCGTTCGCGCCATTGTCCCGCTCAGCCTCCGAGCAAACCTGGGACTACAGGTCGCCCCAGCTTCGCTGGCCCGGCAATTTTATTTTTTATTCTCTATTGGTCTTGCAGGCGCGAGCTCTGCGGCTCTGTGGCCCAGGCTGGAGTGCTCAGTGCGCCATCTTGCTCCGCAAAAGCTCCGCTCCCGTCACGCCATTCCCCTCGCCTCAGCCTCCGGTCAGCTGGACTACGCTCCGCCTCCTCACCGCTCATTTTTTTTTTTTTTTTTTTTTGTATTTAGAGCAACGGAGTTGCCAGCCAATTGTAGCTGGGTTGGCTCTCGCAGACCGGGACCCGCCGCCCTCGCCTCCCCAAAGTGCTGGGATTACAGGTGC